CAAGAATCTCAGACACACACAAATGCTTTAAGACCCTGGATAAGCGTGCAGGACATAAGAAATACTAAGACCAGCCTTGTTGGTCAGGAAGGGTTTCTTCCTCTTAGGAGATTATAAATAAACTTCTTTTGAGATGCCCTCTATCTTCCAAAGGTAACTCTTTCTCTTGGTAAGACAAGAACCTGAACTCTGGTAACCGATGGAATCAGTTCCCATCTGCTGTACTCTGGACAGGTAGCAGAAGCCAAATGTGTGGAAGGCACGGAGTGAGAACGGCTGTAATATGTTTCAGTGGGTAGTTTACTTACTATTTAAATCAGAGTTTGTCACCCTCAGGCTGCTGACATTTTTAGCTCAATTCTTCTGTTTCATGGCAGGCTGTGCTGTGCCTGAGATGTTTAGCTACATCCCAGGATTCTTTGCTCCAGATGCTCACCATTGGTATGTTTGAGCCCCCTGCTGAAGCCACTGTGTCAACCAACCCACCTTCCAGGGACTGGTCCCTCCTGGTAAATCCAAAGTGCATGACGGCAAAACCTTCACCATTCTCTAAGGAGAATGTACTTCTGAGACCGATTTGCTCATTCTTCTGGATGTTCACAGCACATGGAACATTCTTCGCCAACAGCAGACGCCACAGGCATCAAATCTTCTTGTCTTCTTTATTCATTGTCCAAATCGCTCATGCATATGAGTGATTGAAAGTACCCGACTTGGTCAGGTACATCTTAAATCTTCCAAGTGACATCTTTGCCTTTTAACACTTTACCATGATATTGGGCTGCAGTTTTGCCCAATGCAATGTGCCATTTGATTTCTTAACTGCTAGCTTTTAGGGATGTTGATTGTGGCGCCAAGTCAAATCCAATCCTGGACAACTTGCATCTTCTCTTTACCAGGATATTGCTTATGGATCTCTTTACCAGGATACTGCTTACGGATCTGTTTGGGCGGACTTCTGCTTCCTGGTGAACTGCAACCCATATGGAAAATGTAGTCTTTAAGCATCATTAATAAGTGCTTCAACACCAGCCTGTGTGATCATGAGGTGTTGACAGGATCAGGTGTCTGGTATCAAAAGATCCAAAACAAACAACGATATCGATACGAACAAGGGGGCTTGGAGTGGAGGCCCAAAGCCCATCTGCAGACAATTGGCTATCGCCCCACAGAAGGGTTGTAAGGGATGATTCAACCAAGGTGTAGTATGGCACCGACGAATCACACATCATTTCTGAATGCTTCCTTCCCCTTCACTCCCATGAACCAGTTCTAGCTTACAAATCTGAATAGACTGGAGAACACACATTGGTACAGAGAAGAGCTCTCGACACATGGAATTCGCGACACCCCTCAGGAACAGTAGTGGAAGTGGCACTATCTTGAGGGTAGGGGGGTGGCTGGGGAGGGGGAGGCGGGAAGAAGGGGGAACTCATTACAAGGTTGGATATATAGCTCCGCCACCCTGAAGGGGATGGATAAGATAAATGTGGGTGAAGAGAGACAACGGACAGTGTAAGATATAAATCAATAATAATATATGCTTGATCAAGGATAGGGGGAGGGAGAGAGGGAGGGAGGGGAAAAAAGAGGAGCTTATACCAAAGGCTCACGTAGAAAATGTTTTGGAAATGATGATGGCAACATATGTACAAATATGCTTGAGACAATTGATGGTGGAATGTTATGAGATCTGTAAGAGCCCCCAATAAAATGATTTTTAAAAGAAAACAAAGTGCTTCAAGTCCTCTTCTCTTTCATGAAGTAGGTAGTGCTGTCTACACATCACAGGTTGCGAACGGGTCTGTTCCCACGCCGAAGTCGTTCTTCCTCATACAGTCCACTTCCTGGGCTACTTCTCGGCATACAGACTGAGTAAGTACAGTGCCCGTTACAGTGGCACCAAGAAACTCAAGACTGAAGGTGAAGTCTTTGAAGAACCGTTACAATGCTGCTGTGATTGTCCTGATATTGTCTGGTACTGATACCAAGAGCCAACCGTAATTACACATGGGCCCTGTCCAGGCACAGGGCTACACGCATCACAGGGATTAACTTCTTTAAAAACCCTTTGAAGGGGACAGACTCGGGGGCCAGAGCATGGCACCCCATCGGTTCTGACTGAA